CGAGGAATCGTTGCAGCCCTAATAATGACATGCCTCCACATTATCAGCCTGCAGCGTCTCTTCAATAAATACAGCACATCATAACAGGCACAAAGCTTCAGTAAATCTGTCCCTGGATCTGTTATTGATTACTCACAAACTGAATAACCTGTGTGAACCCGGCAGGGATGGGCGGTGTGGGGTTTAAAGCCAGTGCTCCTGGTGTGTCTGCACCACTGCACTCGCTCTCTTACGGTGGCTTCATGCTCCGCGTGGTGCTGTGTCGCTGCCCTTACCCTCCACCTTCCTTTATTTGTTCAACCTCCCTCCTTCCATCCATCTATTCCCCCACATTTTTCACCCCTAACTCGCTCTTGTGCACTTCTCACCCGTCACTCTTTCTCCCTCCTTCTATCCCTCGCCACTACCTCAGGTTAAATGTGTATTGTATTTTTAGTTTCCTTTGTAAAACCTATTTAATAACTACATTTTAAATGAGAGACAACATATAAAGAGAAAGCGTATGTGTGTGTTTGTGAAAGAGAGCGAGAGAAGGGGAAAAGCTGGGGATAACACAAATCCTCCCCCTCCTACAAGGCTGTAATCGTATTTTTGTAATTGACGTATTCGCAGATAGGCGAGCGCTCCCCGATGCCGGTTAATAGCTGCACGAATCAGCAGGCTGCCAGCTTCCTCTTTCTTCACGCACCCAGCTAATCACAGCTGTAAAGCAATATCCGCCTGCTGAATCCCAAATTCAGCCCTCTGTGCGTGTGTGTGGGTGAGCAAGGTTAGCTGGATGTGACTGTCAGAACTGTGCCCTTCTGTGTGTGCGAGTGTGTACAGGAGAGGAAAGAAAATGGAGAGCATGACGCTGCAGTGGCGGAGCTACAGGTGAGTCTCCTCTTTGGAGAACGAGGCAAATTTAGTGTGTAAGTGAGGGGAGGGATCAGGAGATGCACTCATTATACACCTGAGAGAAACCGATGGGGTTCTTCCTCTAGGAAGCAGACACGTGCACAGGCCATTAGTTTGTCAGACGTGCTGGTTACAGGAAAACAAGCACAAGGAGGCAATCACTGGCTTCACACCAAGGCAGTTGTGATCCACATATAGCGAGAAAACTGTCTTTTCTTTTAAAGGCTGCTGGTGAAAGTCTCTACGTTCCACTGGACATGACTCAGTGGCACAAAAACAGCGAGAGCTCTCCTGAAGGCAACATGTAAGAAATGTCTTTGGACCTCCCAGGTCTATTAATACACAGAGAACAACAGAAGTTCGGAGTGAGAGAGCTGCGGTGAACTCGGCAGAAACAAAATGTCCTGTTTGACATTCAAATAACGGAGTCTACGAGACAGACAGTGCTGCCACGAGCGGGGGGCCATATGAGAGCAGCCTGTCTGCTGGAACAATAGCTGGCAGTCTATGACGGGTTGTGTAACAGTCCAAGGCCTAAACAGATAGCCTGAGTCTACTGCTGTGAAAAACATTTTCAATCTGGTGACTACAAGGGCCTCCCTGTGGATCGCATGTGTGTGTTTTCATTTATTTATTCTGACAAACAGTGGTGGAAAGCATTAAAGTACAACAGTTAAAGCACCAGTGTGAAGGATTCAATGGCATCTAGTGGTGAAGTTGCAGATTGCAACCATTTGATTACAGCTCAGCCTTCAAAGGCTTTTGTCTAATAGAACAATGGTCAAGCATCAAGAAAACACTGTATTTGTCAAAAAGAAGGAAAGAAGTCTGTATGATCGTTAAAATAATCAAAAATATACATAATACAGACATAAAATCCATCCAAATCACTTGTTTTACACACACTTCCTGCAGAGTTGACTGTCTGAGTTCATTGTACAGTTTTCTTTTTAAAAAGGGGTCCCTTAAGTAAGAAGGTTGGGAACCAGTGACTTAAAGTACAAATACAGCTTCCATCACTAAGTGTAGATATTTGCATCCCGCCAGTCTGCTGTGGCACTGTAGGAAAACCATTTGCATCGCTGAGCTTCTGATATTATGGTTCAAAGAACAGCATGCATTATGCAGCTCGTGGTAGGTGTGAAATTCCAGTCCTGGCTCTTTTTCTACTGTTGGGAAAAGGGTTGTGTCCAACTGACATCAGAAATCAAAAGTCGAGTCTTTAATTGCAATTTTACAAACAGTCCCGCTTTTGCTTTTATATTACTGATTCATAGCCCTAAACCAATATACCCTGCACTGCAACCCAGTCAGTAGATTTCATAGTATATTTAAATAGGGGGAAGACTGTGTGCCCGATTTTAATTGTTGTCTCAACCATACCTGTAAAATGTCCTTTAAAATAACCCATCAGTTCATCATTTATAGCTTATTTCAGTGCACCAGCAGCACCCTTGGCTGCATTTAAGCATACATCCAAGTTCATGAATTCCACTCAGAGATGCTTGAACAGTATATGTCCAATCTATGTGTATACTTGTACACAGAAATACTGATTAATGAGGCCCCGGTAAGAACATATATACGAGGGAGAGCAAAGGACGTTAAGGGAAATAGGAAAGGAGTGTATAAGAGAGGAGCAAGAGGGCACATGAAGGACGAGGAGGAGGCGAACAGGAACAGTACCCAATGTGCAGACTCAAGGAAAAGACATTGTTGAGGGAGAATGAATGGTTGAGTGACAGCGGAGGAAGTAAAGAGAGTGAAGACAGTGGAAGGACAGGGGAGAGGGAAGACATACAGAGGGAATAATAGAGCTTATGTTCTAAGGTGGTGGCAGAGAGAGGGTAGAAAAATACAGCGTAGCAATATTAATAACTTGTGTAAAACATACAAACTTACTTACAGACCTTTTAGGAATGATGAATCAGATGAACAATCATAAACATCAGTTATACTGTCAATAAACGTTGCCTGTTTCTACAAAGGACATTCTCAGAGGTCTAACCAAATAATCTCAACCTCTAATCACCATATTGCATTATATTGCTGTATAACCCTGTGTAGTGTTCCCTGTGACCAAACCAGGGCTTCACAGAGAATAAAAGAGAGGATAGAGGAGGAGAATGTGGGATTAATGGACGTATGGAGATGAGCAGAGAAGCAGAGGTGCGAGGCAGACACTGAGCTGCAGTAGATGCAGTCACACAGGAGGCGAGCATGGAGGGGAGATTAGAGGGTAAGTGGGAGGCTGGTAGTGGCAGAGGGGGAGCTTGCAGTTACAGCAGCCCATAATTGTTCTTCATGCTTGGGTCCCCAGCGAGCCACTGCCTGCTCTGGTCCCAGGAGGCTCAGAAACGTGTGTGTGTGTGTGTGTGTGTAGCAGAGTGAGATATACAATCTGAAACATGGGACGAGGTCAGAGAGTGAAAGAACCCCAGGACTGGCTCACTGTGAAGCTGTGTGCTCTTATTCTGCTCTTACAACAACCAAAATGTGTGTGAAATGTGTGAATTTATTCTATGAATACATCTTCTGGGACTGTGTGTGTGTGTGTGTGAGTTTACATGTGTCAGCATGAATGTGTGCGTCCTCATTTGCAGCCAAGCCGAGGTCAAAGGTCGCAACAGCATTTCAAACTCGACGCTGCTCCTTGAAAATGTTTAATTCAGCCAGCCTCACTGGTTCCCGAGAGGAGCGAGGGGAGGGAAGGAAAAGGAGTGAGGACAATCTCTCTTTTCTTATTCAGACAAACAGCCTGCTTTCTTATGTTGACCCAGGAAACGAAGAGCATCCAGTACAGCTCACCCATCCAAGGTCTTCTCCATCCTTCCATCACTTGAGTTTTTGTCAAATATCGACCAATGGTTCACAGCACACACAGCGCTATTGGCTAGCTGCCTGTTTTTACCTAAAAGACGTAAATATGTGGAAGCAGAGAGCATCTGATTTCTGTTTTATGGAGACTTTTAAGAAGCACCTGACAAATTCAGTGAAGTACATTATTATTGCTATATTCTAAAAAACTATGATTACTACTGCATCCATTCCCAGCTGGTCTCTTCATTGTAGCAGTTCACCATTATTGCTCTTTACATCAGATCTCTCTCTCTCTCTCTCTCTGTTTGAAGGACGTTGCTCAAATTAATTCAATAAAGGAGAGTCGGTGACAGTTTGCTTTGATTTGATCCTCAGAGAGTGTGTGACTGCACGTCTAAGGGAGACGGCGTGTTTGTGAATATGCCTGTGTGTGTGTGTGTGTTGGTGTGTTTAACATCATGGGAGTCATCCACTGACTGGCCTGTGTTGGCAGTTCTGCTGTGGTGAATAAGCAGAATGAGACAAGCCTGAGACCTGTGTGTGTTGTGTGTGTGTGTGTGTGTGTGTGTGTGTGTGTGTTACCTGGGCCTGCTGTGCGTTGTTGGACGAGGGGAGAGGGTTGGAGACCATTGGTCCAAAGATGTCCAGTTCATCGCTGATTGGTGAAGCACCGCCCGGGCCCTTCCCACCACCCTCAGGAGCATCTGAGAGAGAGAAGGGGAGAGAGAAGAGACGAGAGGAGAGAAGAGCAAGAGACGACAAGACCAGCAGAAGAGAGAGACGAGCAGACGCACAACAAGAGGACAACAGAGATAACACAGAGAGAGACGAGAGAGAGAGAGGAGAGAGAGAGAGAGAGGAGAGGAGAAGAGAGAGAGAAGGCGCAGACGAGAGGTTAGGGCATATTACTACCCACTCGACTGACTCAGGGATCGTATGCCCAACAACAGGCTACCATAGCTTGGGCACCCGTACGGCATTCCTCTAGTAATCATATCCCTACAGTCACATCACTATACTCTTCCCCAGTAACTCCTGGCTGTACACATAAATGCCTAGTGTCATTCACTACATGATTGAATAAATGAATCTAGATATGAATTAACAAAACAAAAATATCCTGATCATCTTAGTCATCTTACTAAAAGTGATAGAAAAAGCCGACAAACCAGACCTAGATCTTCCAAACTAATAATCATACCAACGCTCCCTGACATAAGACACTACACGCACCGGGCCTAATA